TTAATATATCATAATATTTTTTATATAGTTGGAGAGTTGTTTATACATACCAGTGCTGAAATCACTGAACATAGTTTAAAATCTGATCAGGTTACTGTAGAAAATGACAATTTATCATTAACRAATTCTTTTGTGAAACAATTAGAAACAGAAACTACAGGTAAATATAAATAATTTTAAATTATTATTGGAAAAAATAATAAAATATTAAAATTTAATATAAATATAATTTTATCTGTATTTAATACAGAATGAAATATTAAAAAATGAATGTATTAAATTAAGTAAGAATGTTATGTTTAAGGTCAAACTTCTAACATAAACGATCCAATTCATTCTCTACCTACCAACAGACTTGAACTAAAAGAAAGAATACTCAAAGGGCCTTATCGTCCAGTTTTGTCATTATTCCCAAGAACTAAACAAGGACAATATTTCCGGTCATTTCAAGAATGTTGGTATAAAGAATTCAAATGGCTTGAATATAGTATTGTAGCTGACGCAGTATTTTGTTTTCCTTGTCGCTGTTTTTCTGGTAATGAGGGAAACTCTAGTCAATTAGAAAATGTTTTTTCTAAAATTGGTTTTAAAAATTGGTATAGAGCTATAGATAGGTTCAAAAAACATCAACAATCAAAAGCTCATATTAACAGCGCTAAATCATTATCTGAATTTTTAAATTCTAAATCTATTGATGAGATAATAGATTCTAACGTGAAATTAGTTATGCAAAAACGTGAGATTRAACAGTCTAATAATCGTAAAATTATGGAACGATTAATAAATATTACAATATGTCTTGCTAAAGGAGGACGACCATTTCGTGGCCATAATGAAAAAAATGATAGTCACCAGCAAGGTCTCTTCAGAGAATTAGTCAACTTATTAGTTAAATATGATGATGTTTTGAAAAACCATATAAATTTTGGAGCTAAAAATGCTCAATATATTAGCAACAGAATTCAAAATGACATAACATTTTCAATTCATAAAGTTTTATTGAAAAAAATAATTGAAAAAAAAGAGTAATTTACAAAATTCTTATGTTTCAATTATTGCTGACGAAACAAGTGACATTGGACATGAAGCACAATAAATTGTCAATAGTTATTCGTTATTTTGATCCTGCGACTAATCGACCAGTTGAAAGTTTTATAACATTAAAAAAGATGATTTCTGTTACTGCTAATTCAATTTTTCAAACTATAAATGACGTTGTAACTATTGAATTAGGGTTACAATGGGCTTCAGTACTTTCAGTATGTTTTGATGGTGCATCAACAATGGCAGGGAATATTGGAGGAGTTCAAGCAAAATGCAAAGAAAAGAATAGTAATATTTTATATGTGCATTGTTATGCACACTGTTTAAACTTATCATTAATTGATTCTATATGCGCTAGTTCTACAAGTAAAGGAGAAGTTAAGAAAGATAGAACTGTATTTAACTTTTTGGGCACTGTACAGTTTGTTTACTCGTTTATTGAAGGTAGTCCAATGCGACATGCTGTGTTTGAAAAAATATCAAAAGAAAATGGTGGATCTGTACAAACGTTAAAATCATGTTCAACGACCAGATGGGCATGTCGAGCAGAAGCCGTAAGTGCTATTAAAAATAATTATTTGGTATTACTTAGAACTTTAAAAGAAATAATTTCTAATTGTTCAGCACCTGAAATGAGAGCCAAAGGTCAAGGCCTCTTATATCAACTAAAAAGTTTTAACTTTATATTTTGTTTAAATATGATGCACCCCATTTTGCAAATTGTATTAAAAGTAAGCTCTTTTTTACAAACGCCAAACTTGGAATTATTAACTGCAATTGAATCTATAAAATCTTTGAAAGTGTCTTTAAATTCATTAAGAAACTCTCCTATTGATTATCAACTTATTTTTGAAAATACAGAAAAAATGTGCAAAGAATTAAATATAGAAATTCCAGCAGTGAAAAAAAAAAATATACCAAGAAAATTGGATGATAATAAAACTCAACATTTATTTGAAACCAAATATGATGAACTCAGAGTGTTGGTATTTTATTATACTTTGGACACACTATGTCAAGGATTAGACTCTAGATTTAAACAAGATAGATTAGACTTAATACATTGTGTTGGAATGTTGACAAATCTAAGTACTGAGATAGAAACTACAAGTTATGAGTTATTGTCTAAATATTTTGGTATTTTAACTGAAGAATTGCACGCTGAAGTTAAAATTTTAGGTGCTATTAAAACTAATACACCAAAGGGAACAAATTCTGTTTCAGTGTTTAATTGGCTTGATTGGTTAAGTCAGTATGATAGAGCTTCCATTTTCAAGCAATTTTTTTGTTGTCTTAAGATGTTTACAATCATTCCTGTTACGAGCTGTACTTGTGAGCGTACGTTTTCTAAATTAACTATTGTCAAGAACAAGTTAAGGAACACTATCGGCCAAGAAAGGCTGAATGCTTTACTTTTTTTATTTGTTGA